GACTGTATAAACAGCAAAATTTAATGGATCCATAAATTTCGAGAGGGCTCATGAGTTGCCACCCCTCATTGCATAACGGAAATGAATGTCGGAGAAAATACACAACTGAATTCATACAGAAAAAATCGATCAAAAATGGCAAGGTCACTGTACTGGCAAGAGGCATTCGATAAAGCTGAAATTTAAACGCTGTAGACAGCAAAAACTGTTTATGCAGTCTTCAAGTTTTCATCAGGGAAAAGAAGCTTTAAATTTATATGGTAATTAAGTAAATCCACTACTATGGTTGGTAGAAAAATTAGTGCTGCTTTTTGAGGCGGTGGTGGGCCTAATGAGAATTTATCGACAGTAAACTTATGTTCGTATCTTCCGAAATTTCCAATAAAAACTTTCGCAGAATTAGAAAGGGATGTACAAATTAATGGTAATACTTCATTTTATGGATGATAACTTCACTTCCGCACTGATTTCTGTTTGCGGTAACGTGCAAATCCAACATAATATCCTACGTCAACTTAACTGAGAATATGTTAATCACACGATATACGTCAAGACCCAATTCCTATTAAGCCAAACTCTTTACAACATCTTTTTTCGAATATGGGTAATTAGCGGTAACAGAACATTCGCCTGAAATGTGAGCAAGTATATCGTGGCACTTTAAAGATCGTGGAAAAAATAAAAACCAGCAGTACGGAGGTCTTGCGCATTTATGACCACCACACAATTTGCTACCAGCTAGAGAAGTGCCAGTACTACTAGGGCTGGAAGAACGTATTAGCGTCACATCTTACGACGCGGATATCGTTCTTTTAAACTGACCTTAAAATTCCCACGACAGCAATAAAACGCGAGGTAGTAATGCAGGTACCAATATATATCTAACACATGACTGCTTCGCTGGGAAATATATGCAAACGTCCTCTGGAGGGCACGTACCTCAGGGTTGTGCCGAAAAAAACACCCGGACCGACTGATTCACAACAGCGGGGCCTACATCTGACTGGGGACATTTTCACACGTTAAGCATCGTTCAGTTTCATGAGAAACAAGGTTCAGGAATAAGCTTGACCCTTAGTTATTTCTAAGTTAGCATGCCAGA